TAATTAAAAATCTCCCAAAAAAAAAACAATAAAGCTCTATTTCTCACCAGATCTTCTTTGGGTATAGAGAAGTAAAAAGTGCATAAAGGCCATAGCTACTCTAGTACAATTCACAACAGTGATAGCTATCAGAAGTATGTCAGTGACAATGGAAACATTTTTATTTGCAAGGAGGACTATCATATGAATGTTTCTGTTTTTATAAGTTGATGCCCATGTTAACAACAAATTCCTAAAAATTTGGCAATAAGGCAAACACCTTCACCATCAAAATAAACAGCTGCTTTGAGTTTATCTTTCCGTGTACATGTCCTGCATTTGGGTCTTTCATCGTGAACTGCAGTTAGGATCACACCTGACCAACATACTGAAAGCATTCTTTGCTTTCACACATTAAGATAACATCAGTAGTTTGTGGTAAAGCTGTGCACTCACTTTGGATGATGATGGATAAGGATGGGTATCGAAACCCGGTTCCCACTGTTTCAATTCCTTGGAATTGTTTGCCATTTTTGCAAACGATTCCCTTATCGATTCCAGTCGCCCCGAATGACGTCACCACGTTGCGGAGCGTCATTTACCTGGCAGGAAACACGGCAACTAAGCGGCTCAAATGCTCAAAAGTTTGGTTATACTTTACAAGAATGGATGACAACAGGGCAACTTGCAATACTTGCAAAGTAGAGATTTCATTTAAGGGAGGAAACACTACGAATATGCAAAAGCATTTGCTCACAAAACACGCGATGACCTTAAATGAATGTCGTGTTTTTAATTCCGCTCCGGACTCATGAATCTCAACCCAGCAGCAGCGGTAACGTTTGCACGTCCTCTCCCGTTAATACAGCAGGTAAATAATCAACTAACAGTGCATATTATGTTAGCGCAATCTGCCTTATTACAAAACCTGCCATTACTGTGCATTTAGGTGACCATGATGAGAGAGACAGACAGAGTCTGGCTCAGATGCTGGCAGTTCTCGCTGCAGTCTACCGGTAGCATCTCCTTTCAGGCCAGGATAGACGAATGTCACCGAGCAGTGACTAAGTTTGTGGTAAAAGGCTTGCACCCATTTGCCACAGCAGATGCCCCGATTTTCGGTAAGTGAATGTGTTTAATTGTAGGCAGGGACATTACTGGATATTCTTGTGTAATTGCTACAGAATAATTTATGTTATACTTTGTTATTGCTACAGAAGAATATTTATTTTATTATTTTACATTTACAATTTTTTTCCTGGGGACCCTGTGACACCCCATTGAAGAGCCGTAGGCTGTGGATCTCTTAAGATCTCACTGCTGGGTTTGTAAGGCCATGTTACTCCTAAATTTCTATCTTGTTCAAAGAGAAGATATAAAACAAAGTTCTAAGCTAATCGACCTTAGTGTTCTCCTTTTTTAAAAAGAATCGATAAGAGAATCGATAAAGAATCGAATCGTTAAACAGAATCGAAAATGGAATCGGAATCGTGAAAATCTTGTCAATACCCATCCCTAATGATGGAGGAATATTCACTGTACAAAAAGTTTGACCCTCCCGTCTGGGGCGTGTAAGAACAATTCACTTTAATCTCTGCAGGTGATCTGAGACTGGCCATCTCCAGAAGTTCAGTTGCTGTCTTGTGTCAGACAGGAGAACGAACCTTTCTTTTAACATATGTGTCTGAAATGGTATAGAGTGGTTTTACTGCATATTGTAATATTGTAGTCTCCACACACGGAGACTGGTATATAAAAAGGTACAAACACACCAGTTTTACTGTCACAGGTGCACTTTGATGTGCAAATGATAGCATTTCAGATCATTCCATTTCTGCGGACAAGAAAATTGTTTTGCAAGTTGTTGTGTAAGGACAAGAGAGGCATTATGGACAAAACAAGACATGCAAATCTTTAGTTTCAACATTATATTTGGTTAAAATGTTCTGATTGTTCAAATATGTTATTTTCTTTGGTTGTGGTAAAATAATGTGTGCCCCACTCTCCAGTAAGACATGGTACGGGAAGGGTAGTTATTCCTCAGTTGCACCGCAAGAGGGAGTATCCCCTTAAATGAGCCGCTATAGCAATAGTAAATAAGCCTGGCCACTAACCATAAGGCAGTGCGACTAAAAGAGCTGTGTGAGACTGTACAAATGTGTAAAGATGTGCTATGTATATATATTTGCAGGTAAGCAGATACAAGAGAGTAAATAACTTGAGCTGTGTCTAAAGATGAGTCCACAGGGTTGCAGAGAATTTGTTAAAATTGGCCGTTAATCCCCATTATGTGCCATTATACTCACTGGTAGCGATAGCCATGGAGCTAACGATTAACAGCTAGTGCTAATTCACTAGTGCATGCGGAAACCTTGTGGCGTTGTAGTGGATCTATACCTGTGTTGGACTGTAGTCACAAGGAGTATTAGCGTTTGAGTAACCATAAGGCATTGCGCCTAAACAGAGCTGTGTGAGACTGTATAAATGTGTAACGATGTGCTATGTCTATATATTTGCAGACACAGTGAATGCAAACTCATAAAGCTACACTAAAAATGAAAAGCAGTAAAATCGTTTGAGCCATCTCCAACACCACAGTCCTTGTTAGTGTCTGCCCACAGGAGGAGCCTGTAGACACTTGGCTTACAATGTAGAAATCACACTGACGGAGCTTCACACCTCAATATGACTGAAGCTGTGATCAAGGATTTACTCAGAGTCAGTTTTGGTGGAAGAAAGGCTGCTAACATCACCACACCACATCAGACAGGTGACCATGAAAGTAAATACTGGGTTCTCTGACTAACTTCACTTTGATATCATCAACAAAAATCTGCTGGAGAGAGAATTTATGTTAAAAGATTGCAACTCCCACTAAGTGTAATTCTTTCACTCTAAGGTAAAATACTGTAATTACATAAACATTTAATATTTTATAAAAACCAACATTAAATAGGGATCGTGTTAAATATAAAACAAAGTCAAATATAAAGCAATGATAAAAAGTTGAACTTACAGATAAGGATGACAAATAACAGATGTCCAGTCATGATGAAGAACCTGAATACTGTGACTGTGAAAACTACACATCTGAGTATATGTAAATGTAGTTTTCAGTGAACTAGCATTATTCTTCAAAACAAGTGTCATGGAATGGAAGTATTAGAGTTGTTTAGAAGTGTTACTACCACCTAGTGGTAATTAAACAGAATATCCTTTTGTAGAGGAAGTCGTCTTCAGGAAGTAGTGTGCACTTTTGCTTCAGTGGAAAATTGTAATCCGATGGCAATCTCATTAATCCTGGTGTTAAAGTCCACAATATCGACTTAATCCGTAAATTCTTATACCTTTAATGCATATTAGTAAGTTCTGACACTATTTTTAGGTAAATCATTTGGAGGCAGGTGGACACTTGTATTTTCAATTTTTTATAATTTGTGATTATGTATCTTTTTCTAGAACAATGTTATTCTCTCTTTGTCATGGAACAGCCTTTGTTGTGTATTTTGTATTCATTTTTTGTACAGTTTTACAAAAAAGAGAGAGAGAATTTATTTTCCTCATTAATTCATGCCAAACACACCAAGTGGCCTGCTTCTTGGAGGATAAGGTGCTGGGAATAAAGAATGTTAAGTTAGCTGTATAGTTAAGATTACAATGACTGCAACAAACTTTAGTGAGGGCAGCATAATAAGATAGACACCTGCTAAAATAATAATAATAATAAGAGAAATAATTCATTGCCATACAGCTTAAGTATTAACTTAGTATACACACATTATACATGCACCATATATCAAACAGTAAGCCTAATAATACACCAATGGAAACTTGCAGGCCGTGGGCCAAAGTTTCACCTCTAACTGCACACTCCTCAACTGGCTGGGTATAAAAAGCTTCCCAATTAACAACTGTGACCACAAAAGGGAGCAAAACCATACAAAATAAAAGAATATTATCACATTCAAACTATACCAACACATTCTGGTTTTGTTTCAGCTGAGCTTTGTCTTTTTGGATAAAGATGATTTTCTCTATCTAAGATTAAACCTGAAAAAAAAACAAAAAAAAAAACAAACCTGAGTTATTTCTGATCTGTAGCTTTTGTGAACTTCTATGTTTGCTGTGCTTCTACAGATACAATAATAATCACTGATATACATAAATTAGATTTTTAAAGAACTTACACAACTGAAAAAGAAGAAGACAATAAACGTATTGACCTATGTTTATTATTCATCCTATAGATGTCATATAGAACAAGAAGTGAGAAAGGCCCCTCTCTGGGCATTATTTACTTTTAAGGAAACAATATTTCTGTATATAATCATTTTGTTTTTTTGTTCTTTTTTAATATACTTTAAAAATTTTGTATTGAAATAAAACCAAGTGTAAAATCCAGGCTTTTGCTAACTGGCTCGTAATGATGGTAAATTTGATTCTTTTTACTAAATCGAGTTTTAATAAGTCACTCACCAAAGTGAATCGGGTTTTTTGAGTCATTTGAGTCACTGAGTCAGTTGACCAGAGAGTGCAAAAAATGTACATTTTCACTCAAACTTAATTAGTTTCTCTTTTCATGTATATCCTACTGCTAAGGTGAGTGATTCTAAAAGAAAACAACTATTTTATAGAACAAAAAAGAGCAAAAAAAATTTCTAAAGGGAACATTTATTTTGTTTATTTTTATTTTATTAGTATTTTCCTTAAATGTGCCAAATATATATTTTCTCATCTAAATGTCCACTGAGCTGTGAGCCAGAGGGCGGTAATGCGCCTTAACATTGGTTGCCAACCAAGAAGAAAAAGAAGAAGAAGCTATGAGCCAGGAGGGAGGGGGTGAGTGAGTGAGTGATTAGTTTGTGCTATGATTCAGCACAGAAGGGAGGGGGTGAGCGAGTCCTGAGTGATTCGTTGGCGCTATGATTCAGCACAGGAAGGGAGGGGGTGAGTAGCTCAAATGTTCTGTTAGCATGTTATCAGAGCGATGCTACTGTGAACTGAGGAGCTATTGTCTTGATGTGAGCTTCTACTCAAGGTTTTTTCTTCCAGTTCAGAGCAGAAATGTATTTGTTAAGATACTAAATGGTGTGTTTTTCTCCACAATTTTAATTAAAAGCTAGATATATTTATACTAATGAAATTAGTTTGCTAACAGGGATGAGTCAGTTGGGCTTGTGAATCATGATTCATGAGTCAGTGAAGTGATTTTCGAGTATTGAACGATTCGTTCATGATTCGCGCATCACTACTGGCTCGGCCGAACGCATCATTCGATCAGAGCTTCCTGACCTCCATCTGCACCAAGCGGTGCAGGACTAAAGCCCGGAAGATTATGATGGACCTCTCCCATCCCAACAACGGACTCTTCTCACTGTTGAGGTCTGGGAAGCGCTTCCACTCCCTTAAGGCCAAAACAGAGAGAATGATGAGGAGCTTCTTCCCCCAGGCTATTCGAGCTCTGAACCAGGTGTAGGACTGAACTCTCCCACAGACGTTACATCTCCTCACACACTCTGGTTTTTCCTTTTGCACACTTCCTATAATTTATAATTTCTTTTTGTTAATAATTTCTTATGTAAACTGTTACTTGCACATCTTACTGTAAATTTCTAAGTTAAATCTGTAAATTTTTGTAGTAATCTATAAATCTTACTTTCAATTCTTACTGTCATTTAATGGTTGGGCATTGCACAGCAATAAGCATTTCACCTTATGTCATACTGTGTATGGTTGTGTGTGTGACAAAATTTGAATTTAAATTCCTTTTAAGTATTTAAATAACAGTTATTCTCTTTCTCTTGACAAAACTGTCTTTCATAAAGATAAAGGCAGTGGGTCAAATGTGAAAGTAAGGTCAAAAGGTCACATGTGACATGATATTTAAATGCAAAGTATAATTTGATATTTAGAATACCATCATACCAATATTATTGCTTAAATGTAGCCACACAAAGGCAGCAGAATTTAAAGCATAGTTTTAAAGATAAAAAACATTTTATCCTTGTCTTTATAGTTTGACCTTGCTTGACCTTGAAGAAGAGGTCAGAGGTCAAATAAGGTGATCTTTAGAATCCCCATATCATTCCCTTTATGTTTTCAGTACAACATTGCAGTAAGGAACATAGTTTTTAATAGCTCTTTATAGCAGTAATATCGTGTTGACCTTCGAATCAGTTTATTGATCTTGAATGAGAGGTCAGAGGTCAAATCTGACATGACATACTTTCTATAAGTTGACCATACACACCACACTTGTAAAAATCAAAATTTATAATTTATATTCTGTCATTTTTTGACGAATAAATCATTAACCTCACCTTGAAGACCTTAGTGGGTGTAAGCCAAATTTGAATTGAATACTAACATGAACCCACTCTACACCCCTACAAAGTTTTAGTAGTAACTTAATAAGAAACACATTTTGATAAACTGCAACAGCAGCTTTTGGATGCAAATATATACGGATGCAAATGTGCTGTTAGGATTTTAGTAAAAAAAACAAAAAAAACAAAACCCAGAACAAACAGCTCTAGAGATATTTTGTTTCATGGCAACATAAATGCTTAACTATTTTTAATAGTAATCATCAAACTTAAAGTTTGATAAAATTTTCTTGTACAGATACTGATAAAGTAAATTTAAAAATCTTGTCTTGAAAAAGTGAAACTTAAAGTTTCACTTTTTTTATCAAACTTAAAGTTTGATAATCACTCAATAATGTTCACTTTATTTAGGTAAAGTGCAAATTTCAATTAGAATTCAAAGGCACAGCATTTGCTTTCATACTTAGATCAAATATCACAATTGAATTGGTTTTTAAATAAATTACCAGTTCATGGCTAAGTAAAGCCAGCTCATGCTTTGTGTTTCATTAAATCATCAAGAATTGAACTGAAAAAATACACAAGTCAAAAATGCAATACCATAATTGTAAATAGTGATGTAATGTTGAAGTATTCATTTGTTCTCATGCTGGGGCTGATGAAAATATATGAAGTATAGAAATATAGGCTAGCTGCAGTATGAGAATGCAGAGTTGTTCTCTCACTCGTGTGGTCTGCATTTAATTATATATTCGGGTTTCACTTTTTCAAGACAAGCTTTTTAAATTTACTTTATCAGTATCTGTACAAGAAAATTTTATTCACGGTCTACTTTTAGAGAACATAAACAGAACTAAATTTACACAATGAGACTGTTTCCCTTTTTAGTATTGAAGTACATTCATATTTTTTTTTAACTTTTTAAAAAATCACATTGATTAAATAACATAAATTACTAGAAAGACAGTGTAGATTTGAACACGCCTTTATTCTGTTTGTTCATGTTTTAAAGCCAACGATATTTAAGAACAAACTTCTTCATTTACAGTTTGTTTTGTTTTGTTTGTGTGTGTGCATGCATGTGCATGCATGTGTGTGTACTCATGTGTATCTGTGTCCAGAAGAGCAAAACATATCCTGTTACAAAAATATCTTGAACATAATACAGAAAATATTTAATGCAGCTGTGCTACAGAAGAACCCTGGAATCTACTTCATACTGTACCTTCCATGCTCAATAAAAACTTCTTGGCTTTGCATATACAGTGGAACCCCGACTTACGAAAATTAATTCGTTCCCGAGGGTCTTTCGTTAGTCGAAAATTTTCGTAAGTCGAAGCACCCATCGTGCCTTTTGAGTGAACGATAGGCTATAGGCTAATTGCTAACTGCAACAACAATCCGTCGTTCAAGTGGAACAGCAAAGCGCAAGTACGAAAGGCAAGGGGTTGTCACATGATTCGGAAGGCATTCAGGGCACAGGCAATCAGAGCCAGCGGATTTCGTTACGCAGGCATTTTGCCATAACACGGGCAGAAATATTGCCGTTAAGTGCCTTCATAACTTGAATTTTTCGTTAAATGGGGTATTCGTAAGTCGGGGTTCCACTGTATTATTACCCCTGCAATGTGTGCATGCACTAATGTATTTTCTGCATGTGTCTGGTGGATTGGGTGGTTTTCTCGTGGTCACTATCAGAACTTCTTTCCTTCTTACACCAAGTATCTGTCTGTGTTGCGATCTACCCTCATTTCATGCTGTGTGTTCCGTCTGTCTTTCTGTCATTTCAGGTTATTGTTATTTTCAGTTTAGTATTTGTATTCTCAGTTTTGCTAGTTCTCTGTTTGCCATCTAGCAATAAATCTGAGTTTGAGTTTACTTTCTGCCTCCTAATGTCTGTGCATTGGGTCCTCCTTACCACCACTCCAGCCTTCACACAGCCTTCACATGACAGAAGATTGCAACCAGAACATGGACCCAGCAGACTCCGCTTGGTATCAGAGGTTCGCCGTTCCTGCCTTCCCCAAGGAGAGGGTGAGGCAGGAGGCTAAGCATGCCCGGGAGCTCGAGCCACCCTTCTACGGGTCACGTTTGGCTTCCGCAGCTGTCTTCCGTCTCCGCTGAAGGGTCTGAGGGGCCCTTTCAGCCTTCTGTCTCCACTGGAGGGTCCGAGGGGCCTGTCCAACCTTTGTCGCCTGCAGCGCCACCATCTGCAGCGTCCACGCTGTCGCTTGCAGTGCCACCATCTGCGGCTCCCACACCATCGCCTGCAGTGCCACTACCTGCTCCTCCATCTGCGGCTCCCATGCCGTTGCTTGCAGCGCCACCTCCTGCAGTTTCCACACTGCCGCCTGCAGTGCCACCACCAATTCCGTCGCCTGCGGTTGTCATGCTGCCATCTAGTCCTGCTTCGTCTCTGCCTTCGGCCTCCGCATGGGCTGGTTCCGCTTTGTCTCCACCAGAGGTCTCGGTGCCATCTGGTCCTGCCTCACCCCGTCCTGCTTCGTCTGCGCCAGAGGTCTCCGCACCGTCTGGTCCTGCCTCACCTCGTCCTTGTCCTGTCCAGCCACTTTTCAGGCGATTGGCTGGATATTATCGCTGTTGCGGCTGCTGGCTCCGCGGTCAGCCTCCTGGACTGGTTTTTTGACTTTTGTGTTGTCGACCTCTGGGCCGGCCCCCTGAACTTCCTGGTTCTGGACTCTTGGGCCGTCGACCGCCGGGCCGGCCCCCTGAACTGCCCGGGTTTGGACTGTTGTGCTGTCAGCCTCTGGGCCAGCCCCCTGAACTTTTTTTGGAGGTGGGCCGCCTGCACCTTTTGTGAACCTTTTTTGTTTGGTTGGTTGTTTTGAGTTCTTTTCTGGGCTCCAGTGTTTGCTGTTTTTGCTCTCTAGCTCCTTGTGTTTAGTTTCGGTGCCTGTTTGTGAGTCTGCGTTTGTAAGTCTGTGTTTTCTATTTTACTTTGAAAATCTGTGTCTGATGTTAATGCGTCTAGTTTTGCTTCCTTTGTCTCGTCAGCCCTGATTTGTTCCAGCTGTGTTTCCCTCCTGTCTCTCATTCCCTGATTGCTCCCTCTGTGTATATAACCCCTGTGTTTTCATCTGTCCGTGTCACGATCTACTCTCATTTCATGCTGTGTGTGCTGTCTGTCTGTCTGCCAGTTCAGGTTATTGTTATTTTCAGTTTAGTATTTGTATTCTCAGTTTTGCTAGTTCACTCTTTGCCAGCTAACAATAAATCTGAGTTTGAGTTTACTTTCTGCCCCTGAGTATCTGCGCATTGGGTCCTGCTTACCACCCCTCCTGCCTGCACACAGCCTTCACGTGACACATATAACAGTGATTGTAATTATTATTAACTGGTTTCAAATCGATATTGTATTTTACGAGTCTGATTAAACTAATAACTTATTTAGATATCCCACTGATTTTAATGATTTTAGTTATTAGAATCCCCAAATTAACGGTTAATCCGTTAAGATCAGCTTAATTGCTTTATTGATTTTCCTTCTTTTAAAGGTGGTGCCCTTATTAAGATCATTCTTAACAAGGTACATAAACATAAAGAAAGCTCCAGCATTTTTGCTGGCACTGCCCTTGTGAGGCACAGTAATGAAAGTATATAAAAAAAACTCCATAATGTTCTACAGAACACATTTTGTAGAAAGCACAAATACTGCTTGAATAATACTCAGTGCACTGGTGATACAAAGTTCTGGGCTGACACCAGAAAGCAAGCCATGCACTTACAAAGTGTTAAATTGGGTTTAATAATTCTTGATTAATCTTTTGGAAATTATTGTCTTAAGTAGAAATATTATCCAGGTGAGATTGCTACAAAAAAAAGAAAGAAAGAAAAATAGTTTCCTAGTTTATCAATATGGCTTAAATGTGTAATGACCTTTTAGTCTTATCTTCTGTTTTATCCCAATTCAATTTTTTTAATGTGTTTCAGTGTGGCTGTAGAGTGCTGTATGCCAGGTCTGTTTTTATTGAAGGTGTTTCATCTGGCTCCTCAGGGATGCTGGAGTACAAGTGGTATAAGGAAGACTAGAAATAAAATAGAGCAAAAGTTATTTGCATCTGTATTTTCTCTGTAGTAAATACATTAAATGCTGAGGATGCACTTGTCTCACTTACACTCTCAGTTTGAGACTCTTGTCTTTTGAGTTGATTAGACCCTGTGAGTGAGACAGAATCAGAGTTACCTTTATTTCACTTTGTATTTCTATGCATAAAAATATAATGTGTCTGAAATAGGAAAAGGTCTGAGGAGTTTACCATAAAGCAAAATTATTGGGTTAGCAAGGTAAGTTGAATGTAAAGCAGGAGATTTTACTGTCACAAAAGTGGATCTCTTTTTACCACCTACATCGCTATGGTAACCTATGATGAACACATTACCTGGTCCAGACCAGTCTATGTTAGAACTTTTGACTTAAAATTGGCTGGAAGTAACATATTTTCCACTAATTCTTGTTTTTATAGTATCCAGTAAGTGCAATATCAATTCACTACTGAAGGAATAAATTTGATATGAACAACATGTAGAAAAAAGCAGTAAATAAAGCCCAGCAAACTGCATGTCACATTGTCATGGCATGTATTCATATTCAGATGGTGAAATAGAAAATATCTAATTTTTTTTTTGCTTGGTCCTATTCTTTTAACAAACTTTTGTTTTGAAACTGTTGTAATTGCAGCTACTAGAACACAGATTAGAAAAGTGATCAGTTACATTTGTAGATTGTTTATCACAGGGAATATCTATTTGATCACTAAAATAATTTCACATTTATTTGGTGACACTACAATTTCCATGTCTCTTTATTATATAATCTCATGCTGTCTAACCCTTTAGAGCCTTTCCATCCAGCTGTTACATTAGAAATAGCAGCACCGAGATTTCACTGAGCAGTAATATAAAAAGATTAACACGTTTATTTTAGTGGTGTCTACACTTGTGATGATCTTGTGAATGGTTGCCATGGTCATGGTCAGCTGGATGCTAAATCCATTTTCAGTTAGTATGTTTAATTATTTTATTTTAAAATATATAATTTTTTAAGACCCTTGTTGATTTTAATCTAGTTTAAACCAAACCACTCCACTGGATTTAGCTACATTCTGGACTGTGTTTCCGGAATGCAGTAGCTAGCGTGCTGATTGGAGACCGTGACAGCCAATCCGAATATTTGCATCCAAGTCTGTGATTGGTTGGTTTTGTGGCACACTTAGAACAATGTACAGAGAGTTGAGTGCACACGGAGCAGAGATGTTGTAAGCGAGAAGGACACACTGAGAGCAGGGCTGCAGATGTCTGTGAGCTCACAGAGGAGAGATCTGAGCAAGTGCCAACAACTGAGCGAGAGGGGCTGTTATTGTTTGTATATACAGATAATTTCAAACACTGAAATACATTTCTTTGCTCAAAAATGTAGAATTCTGTTCACTCAAATTAAACTTTTCTTTGCTCAAAAAAATTTTCTCCTCAAAATGCAGAATTTGCGCTTGCATTTTTTAAAAAATTATTTTTACGTGCGCTCAGAATAGAGGCACAAAAATAACGCCGTACCTTGGCACAACACCTGGTTTGGCAGCACATAGCGAGGCTTGAAATACTTTCAGTGTGAACTCCAGACCACAACAGGTCTCACACACAACAGCTGCTGTATCAGGGGTGGATCTAGAAGGATGGAATGGGGTGGCATAATATTATCTCTTGCCACCCTAGTTTTGCATATGACATTGTTGTTTATTAAAATACAATAGCATTAACACTCTGAGCCTAGTTACAGTTAACAGTGAATTTAAAGTCTAAAACTGAATATACACATACATATATATTAGGGGTGCAACGATACACAAAATTCACGGTTCGGTTCAGTTCGATACTTGGGTGTCACGGTTCGATATTTTTTCGATAC